TCCAGACGGGACAAAATGGCGGTTCAAAATAATTGCTCAGACTATTTTTACAGAGCAATGGAGGCCGTAAAAGGGTTTTACTGCCCATCCGAAGTTTATGGCTCCTTTCTCGGTATTTAATCGTGACCCGAATGCACCCGAAGTTATCCGGTTATGACTTTTTCATTAATGACGAGAAGTCTCACAGGGCGAAAACATTTATTTGCACTCGCCGTTTCAGAGTGCGTTTGATTGCCTTTTATCAAAAGTAGTGGAACGGAATGTGNAGAGAGAGAGAGAGAGAGAGAGAGAGAGAGAGAGAGAGAGAGAGAGAGAGAGAGAGAGAGAGAGAGCGAGCTAGATGGAGTGTAAGCGATGAGAGTATGTCCTAATTAATATTGATACCCTTTCCCCAAAATGATAATAAGGACAGCAAAGAAAACTTAACATAAATAATAATTATCTCTAGAGAGACTGAAATTATATGTAAGGACCCCACCATAATGCCAGAATAACCGAACTCATAGCTCCAAGAGCTGACACACTTTTGAATTGCAACGTTGTTCGAACTAGGCACCTAAAAGAACGCTTGGAAATTGGGAAAACTCCACTATTTGGGACTATTTGATCCCATAATTAATTAATAGGAGCCAGATAATACCTGCAGTTTTTCAATCCAAGTTCCAGGCAATTGACAGATATACTTAATGTGAATTTAGTAGTTATCATGCGAGAAGGTTAAACAGCCATCTTGGCCTTAACTCCTAGCATCATCAGCTCGAAAGCGGTTTTGTATTTAGGAAGTCCCTCTTTATGGGATATCATGATATGCAGAAGAAGGGATAAACGAAGAAATGGGTGCAGTTGCAAAATCTTGATCAATTCGATCAAATAACATATTAGGAGCAATGGCAGGGTGAAAGAGAGGAAACAACATGTCAATGTGGGAAGCAGGAAGAGACTCCAAATCTTGACTGGTTTCCTGAAGTGGCACTGCAGAAAAAAATGGGCATCTGGGCAAAAATCGACTCCGTGTTCGTTAATTCTGCAAGGAGGAAGAGAAAAACCCAACACAGCTACTATCGAACTGTCGTGATAAATTTTTAGGACCCAGGTACACCGGACCACGGTGCCGAATTTAATAATCTTGTCATAGGACCCAGAGGTACCACGATGCCAAATTAAATAATCTAGTCATAGGACACAGAGGGACCTCGATGCCAAATCTAATAATCTCGAACCTAAGTAGTGCCAGTTCTTACCCCTAAAAACGAGTTTTGAATTTTGAGATAAAAAATGATATTTTTCTCCAGCGAGCAAAAACCAACTTGTCGAGCTTGTTGCCGCGTTACGTACATTTTGCCTCAGACACTGAGCTTTTCATATAAAAAGCCATCAGAATTACAATTCGCAAATCATAAGAATTCGGTTCGCATGAGAGCGGCGCAGGGATGAAGGAGCGTGGGTGGAGCCCGGGCTGAAATGGAACAATCGACGTCGTACAGGCGAGCTCCTCATCGGTTCTACCCTCCTGGCAGCCGGCTCTCGGATTGGTATTGTTCCTTCCGCCCGATGATGGGCTTTGATGATGGCCTTGGCCGGCAATGACCAACCAACCTCCTCCTCCCAGCCGGCCACTTACTTCGGAGTACCTCGCTTTTTCACCAACTCCCTCCGTTTATCATCCGCCGTCATGTCGCCAAGAAACGTCGATTTCTCAACATAGTTTGTAAAATGTTATTGAATCGTAATTATAACACTAAAATTTATTACATTTGCCGAAGGTATAACATTAAGTAAAGTAAACCGAAATTAGGCAGGCTTGTTCTATATGCAAGTTCAATAGACGTTCAACTTTTTTCACTTTAGTTTTCCATAAAAGGACTTCACAATTTGCCAACATATTACATATTTTTTGTTTAAAAGAAATTCCGTACGGTTTAAAAAACTTGTAAATTAATAGGGGATTATATATTATTTATCTCTGACCCATTAATTTCTCAGCGATTAGTCTTAGTTATATAGTCTCGACATTCTGCATGGACAAAAGTCATTTTGAACATTGAAAGTTATGTTTTATTGAAAGGGGTAATTTTAGTCAATGAGGCCCATGGCCAGTCATGTACTTGAAAATTGGCCAAACTAAAATAAGAAGAGGGGTTTCTCTTAATCACCCTGGTTCCTTAATCATATTCATGAACACTAATGAAATTGGTAGATCAATAAAAGATAGGGTGGAAGGGAATGAGGTTATTTAACAGGTCGCTACATGAAATATCCCCCCATTGAGTCGGCCTGTAATCTCGGCTCAGATCGAAACTGGCCGGACCCATCCCCCTCCCAACGAACACCCCCCCGGCCGGTGTACGGCCATCAAAATCCCGCCGTGATTAGTGTACAATTAGCCTCACTCGGCCGCCACACCCAACGGCCGGGGAACCGACCCTTTTTACATCGCAATAAAAATTACAAAACGTGTTTTCATTTTAATACCCCCATTATGTTTCATTATTCAAAGCACACGCCTAGAATCATAGACCTCACCGATCCAAATTACGAGCCGATCGGTGGAAGCTCCTAATAATAATCTAACTAATGAATAACCTCCACCGTGTCCAGAAACATGTGGGTATGAACTATACAGCAAAATATGCATTGGAGTAATGAGAAAATTAATATTCATTCGAAAAGGGTAATCAGCAACCAATTCCTACTTTTTTATTTAACATTGATAACAAATTTCATCACGTCCTGTTTTAATCTGTTCTGACGAAATCTGATCATAAAAACACCCGGCACTGATCACCTACCGAAAATGAGCCTTTTTTTCTCGCATCGATTCGTAACACACTTGCTAAAGCTCCTCTAAAGTATTTTTGAGAGTCTTCAAATTAAACAAGCTATATGAAATGGTATTTGAATTAGTCAGAACTTTTTCCCCTTCATTCTTTTGAATAAACAATTGAGGATTGGTTCGAAATGTAGACGTGTAAGGTATCACAATCTGAAGTCACGAGACTTTAATGAAGTTCACGGTGAAATGGAATATCCTCCATCTCCTTTATGAGTTTTTAATATTCGGTCTAAAGAAATGACTTCCAGGGTTTTATTTCAATTATGATTTTTATCTATTTTATGTATTCATGTGAATATGCTGTTATAAAGTTGGTGAAAAAATTAAAGAATTCAATATTAAAAGGTTTACTGTAAACTTTATTGTTTCGGCAAGACATTTCATGTAAACAAGCTTGCCATTTGATAAGTCTTCCCTGTTTATTTATATAACAATCAACATCCGGAAATTTCTCTGACGGACAAATTTTGATTCTTTATTATACTTATATGAGCAGAAGGTAAATTCTTACACTTAGGGCGTTTTGAAATTTGTATGAGGCGAGAAGCCGAAATTCTGTGAAAAACCAAAATCGAAAACGACGAACTAATATTTTAGTGTTTAATTATTCGGTTTAAGTACATGTTATAGTAAAATAATAATTAATAAATTTTTTTTTATCAATAAAATAAATTGCCTGTTGGGTTGGAGGGGGTATGTTGGCTGGGTTATTTCATCTGTTAGAGGGAAAACAACATAGGAGGGTTCATTTCTTTATTTTTTCCATTCCCTTTTATGCTGGATAGTCGTATACGGAGAGATGAGGGTCCCGTACCTCTCCTCTGTATGGAAATGAACTATAGATTAACTGTTGCGGGATAAATAACAAATGTCGCGAGGAGCCCCACCTATCGCGGGATCCTTAACCAGTAGCAATATGCATAAATTATTGTTAGAACAGGGGCCAGCCATAATATACACTATGGTTCTAATGACCCGGGGCAGAGTCCATGAATAATGTATGCACCCTGTATAAATCATTAGCAGGGCCCGCCGGGTCGCGCTACTACATTTACAGGGGCAGATTAATCGACTTAATGGAAACTGGTCACACGTCCGGCTAAACTTCCCGGGGCGGACATAACTCTCGGAACGGGCGCTATGCTCACCCTATCACGCCAACGGCCAGGCCAACCCCACCGGCCGTTCATATTTATGCCTGTTATGCTCCCCTCGCATAAATTATATATCGTGATGGGTCGGCCGACGCTCAGCCCGGGCGCCATTAACTGGCGATATTAGCGATTTGACAGAACCTGCTGCGAAGAAGGTTAAGGATCAGTCAACTCCCGAAAATTAAGCTCCTTTAGAAAATTAATAGGTATATCTATCTACATTATTAAAATTTGCACATTTCTTCAATTTGTTACCTATTCCCGAGATAATTGGGACGTTTCACTACAGAAAAAAGATCACATAATTACATATCAAATATTAAAGTCAGCAGTGAAAAACTTTTCTCATAACGTTTATTCAGTAACATTCTTTATAAAAAAAATTACTTATATTCATAAAACTATATTTATTATTTTTTCAAATGTATAAAACATATATTTAAATAAAAATGATATTTGACCCTAAACTAAGTCCATTTAACCTAACAATAGTCAAAAATTATTCAATAATATTTTATCTTAAAACGATTCCTTTTTTCAGTCATGTATGTAAACTTTAAAAGAATTGAACTTTTTTCAATTTTTTATAAATTCTTTAATCATTAAAAAAGGTAATTGCAGAATTTAGGCTAAATAGTTTTATTCTCAGGCACATTGAAAGAAAATATGTTTCTTGAAATAAAAACCGGTGTTAAAAATTTAAATAAATTTTTTAGCTTAATCAAACAAAACGAAACAATAATTGTGATTATACTGGGAGTCCTTCGTGTCAAATAAAAAGACCAGAAAGTTTCAGTAAAAATATATGCAATAGTTATTTATTCAGTAATTCAAAATATACATTCTTTGTATTATGTACAATAGAGGCGTGCGTTATGTACAAAGGGGCTATAAATAATTATGTACAAGGGGGTGGGCTCGGGGGGGGGAGACTCGTCATCATCCCTTGGGGCAGAGAGGTTCGGACTCGATCCCTCTTCCTTCTTCCTGCGCTTGCTTCTTTGGACTTTTACCTGTATGGAGGAAGAGGTGGTTCTTGAGGTTGGTGTGCTTCGAAAAGCCCCGGCTGCAGATGTTGCACCTGAACGGCCAAGACCCGTTGTGCACGTACATGTGCGACTTGAGGTCGCCCGGGGTCGGAAACGACTTGGAACACAAAGAACACTTGTGCGGCTTTTCCTGAAACAAAAACAAAGCGTATAATTAAACAGAGCTGTTTAAAAGGAAATAAACTCATCAGTTTAAGGAACTAAGTGCTAATTAGATGTCCTGGGTTCGTGACTAAGTACTGTTAAGTGATCTGACAGTTTGGCATCAAACAGGAATGTTTAAAGTTAAGAAGTCAAGTAACTATGCATCTCTTTAACTACGTGTTAGTCAATTATTATATTTATAACATAAACCAAATTTTAGGTAAATACAAATGGTCGATTTTGTCAGCATTATCAATCGGTGAAATAGGGTTGACTGATTTTTGTAATATTTTTTATTCAATTGATCACGAGGTGCGCAGTACAAAACATACCCTTTAAAATATTTCCCAATTTTCCTATAAAAAATAAAAATTTATCCCAACGTTCAACCAATTCATTACTTTTATAGACCTCTTCACTAATGAAAGTTTCAAATTCTTACTGAAGATGGAATGATTGATTGTTTTATTGGGAAATAACTCGTGATCAGCGCTGTGGTAGAAGATAGTCGATGTCTCGATTACGAAGATGAAAGATTACTAGGAGGTGCGCTTTATGATCTCCATCCACTGGAGACTCTGGCTTATTGAACTTTCTTACTTCGGTCCAATTGTCTCGATCCTTCTCCTAAGACATACTAGGTCATTGACATTATCTTTACTACATTTCCTTTCCGTGAGTTTTCTTTGTAACTAAGGTTATATCTTCATTGAGCGGTTGCTTCGCATTCGAAGATGGTATCGGAGGATATCTTTTCTTCTTCATTGCACAATCTACAGATGGGGCCCATGTTGTGTAGATGTAATCTCAGATGCCAATGACCGGTTGATAGTCTTATCACTCTTCTGTTTAGCCCTCTCTAATTGTGGCAGTGAGTTATTTATTGGTGAGGGTTGTTTTAGCATATGCTTACTATTAAGGTGTGTCTAGCACATTATCCTTTCGTCTTTTTTGGATCCGTTCTGTAATGGGGGATTTTGTTTTTGTTTTTATTATCCCAAGAATAGGTTCAGGGCCGTCTTGCAGACCCTCCTTTGGCCAGTGCGTCAACATTTCCATTACCCATTTGTGTCCTTGTACCAAAGATATCATCCAGTTATTGTGTTTCCCCAAGTTTTGGAAATTTTGGATGCATTCACTCACTAGATTTGATGTGATTTTTTACATGCTAATGCTTCAATACCTGCTTGGCTACTCAATTTTATGAGGATTTTTTTGCCAGTGAATCCTCTTTTAAAATTTTCCAAGGCACGAGCATTGGTAGCATCAACTAACCAACCCGATGTCTTCATACTCTACTGTGTAAATATCTGAATGAATGGCTTTTAAACGATTTTTTAGTATAGTTTAGGGTAAGGAAATTTTAAATTTATTCCTGTCAAATATTTATTAAATTGATTTGAAATCGGGTTAGGTTTTGAGATGTGTCTTTAGATGTTTAGTAACAAAGATCGAACTGATGATGCATGAGGATCTGATGCATTCGATTTTTCCTAATAAAATTTTTATTACCATCTACTTAAAAAATACATTTTAAAATTTTATGGTATATCATATGTATTTACAATACACTATGTTATGAGGGGAGTTAGCAACCATTGTTGTTCTCCCAATTTTACACAAAGGCTGGTCCATGGGAAGGAGGTCCCGGGGCCATCTCCGCTTTAGTCGTCTGTCGGGTTTATAGGGATTATGGTGAAGGGGGCTAGTGGGTTGGGGTGAGTGGAATATATTTGGTAGGGATTCATTTTTTGCAAAGGGTATTTTGAGGGTGGTACTGGAGGCATAACAGGGAGCGGTGACTATGATTCTAAGCTCATTGGATTGGAAGGATCCCAAAGTTCTAGTCCATAAATCCAAATCGGTTTCAGTAGTGTTTTGTAGCGTATCAGTATGTTTTTTGTGGATTTGTTAGATTCCGTAAGTAGTTTATAAAGAAGTCCGCAGCGACTGTTCAATTCCTTTTATTTGTGTGTATTAGTTCAAGGTTAAACTGATGTGATGAACTAGTATGATGGAAATACGAGGTTTTGTTCTTTGTGTAATGTTTAAAAAAACTGTCGGTTTAATTATTTCGGAGGTATGTATTTAATGATGTTGGCCTTTTTGGGACGGAAAAGAGAATCGTCTTTGTTTACGCCCTGGAGCTTCTTCTTTTCAACGGGACGATATGATGTCCAACAGAGCGGTTAAAATGATTTGAAGCATGTCCCAGTTGGCCGACGATGGGACTTAACGATATGTGTGAAAGAGGAAGTCAATATTTTGCCTGTTGAAGAAAAAAATGTGACGACCCCGTTCACCCGTGACAATATGAGTTCGGCTAATTGCCGGCTTTGTTGCCCTGCTCAGCCATTGTGAAATCGACGGTAATAACTCATAACGTTCTTCTGAAATCATCGTTTTTAATTTCTCCTGGCCAGCCGTCCATTAAAACGAACGGTGTTTTATTCTTTTGGCTGGCGAGGGGCAGGAGGCCAGAAGGACGAAGGAGCTCTTCTTTCACCGGCCATGGACGTGGAGGGAAAGTGAACTCGGGTCTAATTTTCAATGCGTTCTCACGTTAATGCGATCGCTTTCGTTTTTTACATGCCTTCTATGCGATTGGATTAGAAATTGTTTTGCCCGTGAGAAAATAAAAACTTTTCAACTGAATTTAATTATATTGATTTCATATCTGTAATTCTATCGAAACATCTAAGAAAAGTATCACGCTTTCAGAAGACATTGTGCGAAGATTTGGTCTTTTCTTATCTTGTTTTTCATTCTCGTTAATAATTACCATTAATAATAATAATTTTGTTTTAGTAATTTTTTTCGCATCAATTACAACCCTTACAAATTTTTAACACTTTAGGCATGGACTTAAGCCCGTCAGCCAAATCGACTCGCATTGCTCTTGTGCATTACATGAGAGTTAAAGCATGCAAATAAAACACCTTTTTTAAAATAAAAAAATAATATAAATAAAGAATAAATGGACGAAGAAACACATAATTCTAAACTAAAGATTAAATTCAGCTATGAGGATGAATTTATTAAGGGAGTAACGTCACTCTTTGAAGGATATGTGAAACAAAGTATAGGCGACAAGTTGAGAAGAAGTAAGGTCAATTGTTGTCGACAATTTGGCAATGTAGAAACTTATATAATAAACTTGTAATAAAGCTCTATAATCCCGCGCGTGCAATGCATATGTTTATAAAGTGTGCCATTCCTTGGCTCCATATAGCGAGCGCATAGGAATCCCGCCCAATATAAGAATTGTTTTCGAGTAGGGCAGCGAATCTCCGGGTCCCCTGTTCCGAGTTTTGGAGGAAACAAGGATGTTATAATATATATAGTACTGATAGTCCGTTGACGTAAGGTGTGTTGAGAGTAAATGTATTTATTGGCGTGAAAGTGTTGAGCCCAACGTCGGAGGCTGGCCAGATAAGACCGAGGTCTGACACCTGACTGCCAGCACTTTATTGTAAATTACAATAGCTGAAATTGCCAGTATATGTATGCCATATTTATATATATTATCTCAATCACGGTAACCATTCAATCAGTCGATTACCTCAATTAAAAAAAGTGAAAGTGTGGGGAACAGTTCACTGTAAATGATAAAATATTTAATAAATATCATACGATAATATTTTTAAAAATATATATCTCGTAGGTTCAAAACTAATAATTCGTGCGTGCTTATTGTATGCATTTAAGCTCGGTAATAGGGCGGCCGAGGTAGCTAATAAAATTTGCGCTGCGTTCAGTGTTGAAACAATATATTGAGCGCATTGCCCAAAAGTGGTTCTAAAAGTTTCAAAAAAATACTTCACCATACTCAAAGCATACCTTGAATGACGACTTGAGGGGTGCTATTGAAATTCATTCGGGTCAAACGTATCAGGAGCTCGCCAGACTGTTCAACTTAAGAGATGAAACAATTCGCCCTAGCTTATACACCTTTACTTTGTGCTCTGAAAGCTCTGAAAGTTGACAGTCTTTGATAATGTCGTGACTGAGTCTGCAGGTTATCATCTTCAAAGAAATTTGAGCCTAAAATCTTAATTATGTCAAGTTGTAGACATCTTTAAGATGGTTTTGCCCTGATGATTACCTTAAAATAGGTCCAAAGCTTGGTCGATAACCATCAAATTTGTCTTTTCATCCATACCGAGATCCAGATTATTTGAAAGCAGCAAAAGCCAAATGTCCATTTACTCACCTTTCACGTCATCCCAACTCGACGTAAGCTAGAGCTACCATTCTGGGGTAAATTTTCAAATACTAAATCATTTCATTTCAAATACTAAAGCACATTAAAAAAAAAAAAAAAAAAAAAAAATCAAGTAGAATAATGAAAAGAGAGGATGTCTCATTTTTTGTTTCCAAACATTATTGTTCTCATCATAAGAACAAACCTTACTGGACTATTCAAAAATCCTCCAAATCTAGCTTGTTATCCCTAAACAAAATTACACCTTGATTTAGGTCGAGATTTTTTAATTTTATTAGTAAAATGATTGCAAAGATATCAAAGAATGTACGTGCAACATGGGGACTGGGACAAAGTTATGTTTCGAGCCAGCAGGGCAACTAGTAAAACTTAAACGAGAAGCGAGCATCGATTGTGGTCGGGTATGCTCACGATTGAACGTCTGATATGCTCTCTGAATTTGCATGTTTGCTTTAAAGTTACAAGCATAAATTATAAAATGAAAATAAGACATGATTGAACTACATAGATTTTATACAACAGATGATCGTGTAATATTGTAGATAAATCTAATTGTGAGGTATTACACAAAACCTCCAATGAAGATGTAAAGTCGGACGATCAGAAACGAGCCAAAAATAGTAATAGTTTCTTTGATATTTGGATATAGGCTATAAACAGACCAATCTAAATGAAATAAGTTTGTTCCGTTTGATTAATCGTTGTTTATAAATAAGGAGCTTGAAATTTTGTCGGATGTCAAGGGTTCTTTATAGTCAATA